ACGTTGCCCAGGGTGCACCACGTGGAAGTTGATAAATATCCCATTTATCATTTTTTTAACAAATGATCATTTAATTATGACGAATGCGAGAAAACGATGCAAGGTAAACTGGGATGTGCGATAGATTTACCTCCACGTTGTGCACCCTGGTCAACGTATACTCATACGGCAAAAGTCTGTAAATCGGCAGTTGACTTCAAGCTACTATGACCCGACTGTATGTCTTATTCCACCACTTCCACAGCACTTACCTTACTTTTTTCTCTACCTTTGTGTCTGCCTCTCTTACATCTGNATGAACATTTTGAAGAACTAAGTGCAGGAAGATGAATTTGCAAATTTCGTGCGATACTTGTTTGAGTGGAGCTTTGTTCCATTTTGCCAAACCAAGAATTTGGCTTTGCTGTTTCCACGTGAGAAATCAAGGCGTGGGAACGGTCAGTCTTTTCTTTGAGAAAAAGAAAAAAAAATGAAAATGAAGAGAGAAAATAGTGTGGATGTGTTTCCCACCGCGTTTTCTCCCAGGTGATAAAGAATTTGATGGCGGTCATGGGTTCTGCAGAATAAAAGCATCATTTGCGTAAAGTTCAAGGCAGTTGTCGCAATGAACAGAATCCCAACAGAATTCCAATGGGTGGAAATTCTGAGACACCTTCAAGGAAGGCGGTTTGAGCAGTACACACGCCGAATCTTCGATAGACAACCCACTAGAGTTGACTTCATGTGTAGAAGAACGACATTCCCGTACTATCGTTAATGCCCACCTTTGACAGTCACTTCCACCACGGCCAATTTCGTATGTCTTGGACGAATTAATCTTAGAATAACTTTTCGCCAACAATTTTACTACTGATCGTTTTAATTTTTTAATAAATAAATTCTTGTTTTTTTGCAATATGAATGATCAATTCGTTTTTTTTTCACTTATTCCTAACCATTTTTAATTCTGTTAAAAGCATTCGTATTACTTCATTTTAACTTAGTAAACAGCATTTCGGTACAATCAATATATATTAATCAATATCCATAATTTAGTCTTGTTCTAGTAAAAAACTGTATTTAAAAGGCAAAATAAAAGAGTAAACCTGATGGTATTGTGGTATTTGCGTTTGTGTTTAATCTTCCTTCCCTCAAATTTGTTTTTTTTTTCATAAAAATTCAATTTACATATATTCATCTGTTGCTTCCGATTGGTATCTTCATAATTTCCTTCAAACTATGTAGCAAAGGAGTCTATTTCACTTTATTTTTTCGCATTTATTGAAGTTGTTCATTGCATTGTTGGTGCACTGTTCGTTGTGCATGTCAGACATCATTTGTTTATTGATATCAAGTGGCAGGCTTTATGATAGTTATCATTAGCCCTTTAGTTGACTTCAGGCTTCACAGAGGGGAAGGAACATCAAAGTGACAAAAGTCGAGGGGAGGGGAGGGGTGAACAGAAGAGTGTTTCAAAGATGTAAAAGAGACAGACACATAGGTAGATAAAGGTGGGGTGAGTACTGTGGAAGTAATCGAATATGACATACAGTGGGGGTGATGGTTGTTTGAAGTCAGAAGTCAACTGCCAGTTAATAGACTTTTTTGCCGTATGAGTATACATTGCCCAGGGTGCACCACATGGAGGTAAGTCTATCACGCACCCCATGTCAGATATCATTGATTGGTGTAGACCCAGTAACCCAAAAGTCCTATCCTGTAACTAAGTCTAACTAATGAAGAGAAAAAAATTCGAATCTATCATCTGAGCGACTCTAAGATAAGAGTTCCCAAGTGACTATAGGAGTCAGGATTACTGAATGTACACATTTCAATATGTTTTTTGCGTATTAATGTTTATACTTTACACTTCATTATGATTGGTCACGACACTTCCATGGAGAGCCCAGGCGGAAAAGGTGCAACGCAATTTTGTGCAACCACTCAGTTGTCGGCATACTCAAGGAAGGAGATAAAAGGCGGTTTGCTGCTCAACTAACTGTTTTTTTTCCAATTATCGAAATAAATTTACTTTTATAGGTTTGAAATAGGTGGTAAGTGGTTGATAGCCCTCCACAAGTGGTCTTACTTTAACCAATTGTGAGCGTGGAATTCTAAACAAATCCACAATCCTAATCCCTGAGAAATGGAGCATGTGAGTTTTTCTAAATGCAACAGAAATACTCCATTAAACTTCCTAACGCCTCAACTTTTTAACCTCGGCTTTCATCTGCCATTTTGAATTGTGTGTGGAGGAGGGGGGGG